ACACCTGGCGTTGCTTGGGGTCGAGGCGGTCGCGGAGCCAATCGCCGAGCAGGTTCATGCTGAGGACGACGAGCATGATAGCCATGCCGGGAAGAAGGGAGACCCACCAGCCGTTTTCAGAGGCCACCAAGTCACGGCCATCCGCGACCATCAGGCCCCAAGCCGGGTTGGGTCGGGGGACGCCGGCCCCCAGGAAGCTGAGGGTGCTCTCGAGGATGATCACGAAGCCGACCTGGAGGGTCGCCAAGACCACCAGGCTGTTGAACACGTTGGGCAGGATGTGCTTGATCATGATGCGCACGTGGCTGGAGCCGGCGACCTGGGCGCGCGCGATGAAGTCCTGCACGCGTACGGCGAGGGTCTCCCCGCGGGCCAGCCGGGCATAGCGGGACCATAGGAGCACGACGATGACGCCGATGACGGTGCTGGTGCGAGGGCCCAGCGCCGCAACCAACACCAGACCCAGCAGGATGATCGGGATCGATAACGATATGTCCACCAAGCGCATGATCACCGCGTCGGCCCAACCCCCCCAGTATCCGGCCGCGATGCCAAGGGCCGTTCCGATGAAACCACTGACCACGATGGCGATCACGGCGATGACCACGGAGATGCGACTCCCATAGATGATGCGGGTCAGGATGTCGCGGCCGACCTTGTCGGTGCCGAGAATGTAATTACTGCTGCCGCCTTCCTGCCAAACCGGCGGGGATAACCGGTCACCAAGGCTACCGCGGGTTGGATCATGGGGCGCGATCTGGTTGGCGAATATGGCCGGGATCACCAGGACGACCAGGAGGATGACCACGGGAAGCGTGGGGAGACGTCGCAGTTCCGAAGCGATCTGGCGCGGCCGGGACTGTCCAGCGACAATTTCGGCGTCACCTTCGGCAGCGGCCGGGGTCAGGCTGGTGCGGTCTTCAGCGGCCATGTCGGATCGATCTCCTCATTTGACGCCGGTAGCCGGCAGGCGCAAGCGCACAATACAGCTGCACTAACTGAAGCGGATGCGGGGGTCAACGTAGGCGTACGCGATGTCCACCAGCAGGTTCGCCGTGATGTAGACCAGGCAGAAGACGATGACCACCGCCTGGATGACCGGGAAGTCACGGGCAATGGTGCTGTCCACCGCCAGCAGGCCGACGCCGGGCCAGGCGAAAACGAACTCGATGCTGACACTGCCCACCATCAACGAACCCAGGATCAACGCGAAGTAGGTGAACGGCGCAATGGCCGCGTTGCGGAGGCAATGCTTCCAAACGACCTTGCGCTCGGATACGCCCTTGATGCGGGCCAGCTTGACGTACTCGGTGTCCAGAACGTCCAGCATCGACGAGCGCACCAGACGCATCAAGGCGGCAACCTGGAACCACCCGATGGCGATGGCCGGCAGGATGAACGACCTGATGCCGGATTTGCCGGATGTAGGCACCAGTTCCAGATTGACGGCGAAGATCCACATCAGGACCAATCCCAACCAGAAGGCCGGCAGAGATTGGCCGGTAAGGGCCAGGACTTTCCCCGCGTAGTCGAAGACGGTGTCCTTCTTGACCGCCGACAACACACCCACGGGAATGGCGATCACGGTAGCCACCACCAACGCCAAGCCGGCCAACTGGGCCGTGGCCGGCAACCGGTCGAACACTAGTTCGATGGCCTGCTGGTCGCGGTGCTTGATGGACTCTCCAAAGTCGCCGGTCAGGGCGTTGCCGAGGAACTTGAAGTACTGGATATAGACCGGCTTATCCAGACCCCAGGCGGCCCGCACGCGTTCCGCGTCCTCCACCGTGGCTTCCAGCGGAAGGAGCACATCCAGCGGGTCGCCGGCGATACGGGCCAGGCTGAACACGATCACGGTCAGCACCAGCAGCGCCAGAATGGACTGGATGATCCGTATCAGGATGTAGCGTTGCACGATTGGTCGCCTTATTGGTGGTCAGGGGCGAACTTGCATTCGCCCCCTCGGATTGACTGGGAAAATGCCTGAATGCTACTGGGCGGTGGTGATGTATTCCATGTGAGTGATAGCCGTGTTGATGTTGCCGGGCCAGATGAATTCTCCGACCTCCTCAGGATTGATGGCAATCTGGCTGGGAAGCCAAACGATGGGAACCTCGGCGTACAGATCGAACTTGAGGTCGCCCGCCGCGCGGAGGGCATTGGATTTCACCTCGGGATTGACCGCGGTGATGGCTTCAGCATAAAGCGTGTCGAGCTGGGGATCGGGGACGATGCGCTGGAACCCTCGGGTCCGCTCACGTTGTAGAAAACGCAGGGTCACCTCGGCGGGGCGCAGGGTGCCCCGAATGGGGGCGATGGTGCCGTGGGTGTTGCCGGGGCGATAGAAGTCGGCGCGGAAGCGGGCCCATTCCATCTCCTCAGCTTCCACATCGATACCGATGTCGCTGAGGTAGGTGAAGGCGGCTTCGGCCATGGGGATCATTTCGGGCACGCCGGAGAGTTGGGTGATGATGAGCTTGAGGGGATAGTCTTCGTGACCTGATTCCTTGATCAACTCGCGGGCGCGGTCGGGGTCAAAGCCGTATTTCTCGTCGAATTCGCGGGACCAACGGTCGTTCCAGCCGGGCAGGCTGGGGTGGAAGCCCCAAACCGGATGCGGGGAACCGAACCCGCTGAACAGCGTTTCGTTGATCTCCTCGCGGTTGATGGCCCGGTTGATGGCCTCGCGTACCCGTACATCCAGGTGGGGATCCGTCGGGTCATGAAAAGGACTGAGCGGCGAGTAAATACCGCCCATCACGAAGGCGACTTGGATGGAAGGCAATTCACTTTCCACAATGATCATGCCGCCGTCTTTGGCCTGGGAGTGCAGGTCGCGATTGACCTCAGCGATCTGCACCTGTCCGGTCAGCAAATTGGCAAGGCGGGTCGCCGGTTCGGGGGTGTTAATCTGCTCCATTTCGGCCCAGTGCGGGGTCTGGCGCCAGTGGTCTTCCACGCGGGAGTAGAGAAGATTTCCGCCGACACCTAGTTGCCGGCTCTCGTACCGCCAGGGACCGGTGCCAACCGCGCCTTCGATATAACCCGGCTCGCCCTCCGTGTCCCATTGGTCCTTGCTGTAAATGAAGTAGTTGCCCTGTTGAGCGGAGACGACGAAGTCCATCGCAGCTTCGGGACGCAGCAGGTTGAACTCGACGGTGTAGTCGTCAATGACCTTGATGTTCTCAAAGAGTTCGTCAGCAGTCTGCCCGAATAGTCCGCGGAACAGGCCGGTGTCAGTGGCGATGGCTTCTTCGCCGATAATCAAAGCGGCGGAGTGGGGGACGTCGTTGGCGTCGAACTCGCCCCAATCACCATGGAAAGGAATGCCCTCGCGGAGGCGGAATACCCACTGAGTGCCGTCGGCCTTGGAAATTTCCCAGTCAGTCGCGAGGCCAGGCTGCAGAGAACCGTCGAAGCGGTCGGTGTGGACCAGCGGCTCAGCGAAATGGCGCACCTGGGCGTTGGCAGACGTGGTGGTGCCCAACCACCCCCGGACCACTCCTGGACCGGCGGGGTCACGGCGATCTTGAGACGCCCGCCGACTGCCGTAGATTCCTGGGCAGCAGAGGGTGTGTTGGTCGGCCGCGGAGTCGCCGTGGCGACGATGGTGGGAACCGCGGTGGCGGCTTGGGCCGGTGCGGCCGGAGCCGTGGTAGCGGCCGGAGCGGCGGCTTGCTGGGCGGCGGGAGCGGTTGTAGCCGGCGCGGCCGCCGGCGCGGGTTGCCCGGCGCCACCACAGGCAATGCCCACCACCAGGAGAAGCGAAGCAGCCACGGTCAACAAAATCGTTGGTTTCAACACCATAATTCCTCCAGACGAACGCCGCGCGCTGTTGAGCGCACCATCCATTGCGGTATCCGAAAATACGTTGCGGCGAGACACGGAGCCGCATTATATGCGAAAGAATTCACGAATGCACTATTGGCGGCGCGAATTACATCTCCCAACGGTTACCAATACGTAAACAATATAAATAGCGTACTATTATCACGAAATACGTCATGAACGATTCCGCAATAACAATGGGATTGTGAGGCGGATATGCGCAATCCGACGCCTGACGGCGTTACCCAAAAAGGGAAAACCCAAAGGAACAATCGCGGGGCGGTGAATGCCTAGCCGCGCTCCAGGCGCGCCAGACTTGCCAGCAACCGTTTCAAACCGGCGCCAGGGAAGTTGACGGTGACCTGCTCCATATCGCCGCTGCCCTCAACGTCTTGCACGACGCCCTCGCCGAAGGTGGGATGGCGGACGATTTCGCCCACCGTCAGGGGAACCCGTTCGGGCTCCGGTTCCGCCGGGGCGCGACGGCTTGAGGTCCATTCGGTCAGGCGCTCATCGATGTTGCCGCGGAGGCGTCCGCGGGTGGCGTCACCACCGGTTCCCGCGCCATCGCCCAGGCGAGTGCGGGAAGCGCGGCGGGCCTGTCCGTAGGAGCCGCCGATGCCGACGTCGGCGTTGCGCGAGGACCGGGACGGGTTGAGGCCGTGGGAGTCGGCGCGAGATCCCGGCGGACGATCCAGCGCGGGCGAAGCCAGCACATCCTCCGGCAACTCTTCCAAGAAGCGGGAGGGCAGGGTGACGCCGCCTGTCGATGGGTAGCGGCGTCGGAAGGAGCGGAGGAGGTAGAGGCGCTCCTTGGCGCGGGTCATGCCCACGTAGCAAAGGCGGCGCTCCTCTTCGACCTCAGCCAGCGTGTCCATGGAACGGCTGTGGGGGAGCAGTCCCTCCTCCATGCCGGCCATCATGACCACGGGGAACTCGAGGCCCTTGGCCTGGTGCAGGGTGATGAGGGTCAGGGAGTCTTCGGACTGCTCGTAGGCATCAACGTCAGAGACCAGGGACACGCGCTCCAGGAACGCGCCCAGGCCGTCGGGGGTGTCATTGCCGGAGGGGCCGTAATCCTCGGCGAGGCCGCGAAGCTCGAGGATGTTCTCCCAGCGCTCGTCGCCGTCGTCCTGGGCGTTCATGTGCTTGGCCAGGCCGGTCATATCCAGGGCGCGGTCCAGCAGGTCGGCCACGCCCAGCTCACGGGAGGCTTCGGTGAGCCGGTCCAGGGTGACGGAAAGGTCGGCCATGGCGCGGGCGGCGCGGGCGGTCACCTCGATGGGGCACGTCAGCTTTTCGGCGCGGGCGGCGGCCACTTCCCGCATGGCCTGGCGGCTGGTAAGTCCGCGTCGGGCGGCGTAGGCGGTCAGTTGCTGGACCGACTTTGCGCCCAGGCCTCGCGGCGGTTGGTTGATGACGCGTTGGAGGCTGACCTCATCGTCGGGGTTGAAGACCACGCGCAGGTAGCAGACCGCGTCCTTGATCTCCTTGCGGTGGTAGAAGCGCACCCCGCCGACCAGCCGGTACGGGATGCCCTGACGCATGCACTGGTCCTCGAAGGCGCGGCTCTGGGCGTTGATGCGGTACATGATGGCGCAGTCGCCGTTGCGGAACCGGCCGGTGCGGCTCAGGCGCGACACCTCGTCCACGGCCCAAAGCGCCTCGTCCTCCTCGCTGAACGCTTCGTGCAGCGTCACGGCATCGCCGGTTGGGTTGTCCGTGAAAAGCTGATGGTCGATGCGCTCGGTGTTTTTCGAGATGACGCTGTCCGCCGCGTGCAGGATATTCTTGGTAGAGCGGTAATTCTGTCCCAGGCTGACCACGGTGGCGTTGGGATAGTCGCTCTGAAAGCTGAGGATGTTGCCGATGTCGGCGTTGCGCCAGGCGTAAATGCTCTGGTCAGGGTCGCCGACCACGCACAGGTTCCGATGAGGGCCGGTGAGGAGTTGGGCGAGGCGATACTGGGCGACGTTGGTGTCCTGAAACTCGTCGATGAGGAGATAGCGGTAGCGCTGGTGGTACTGGGCCTGGACCTCAGCGTCCCGCTCCAGGAGATGGGTGGTCCGCACCAGGAGGTCGTCGAAGTCCAGGGCGTTCTGGCGGCTCAGCGCTTCCTCGTAGTAACGATAGACGCGGGCGCAGGTATCGATCCAGTGAGCGCCGTATTCGTCGTCGCTGTCGTAGGCGGCCCGCGCCATGGCCTGGGAGTCCTGCAGCACGCTCTTGGCCGCCGAGATGCGGGAGAGGACGGCGCGTGGCGGGTAGCGTTTCACATCGACATCGGCCAGTTGCATGGCCGACTTGAGGGCGTCGATCTGGTCGTCCTGGTCGTAGATGGTGAAGTTGCGGTCCAGCCCCACACGCTCACCGTGCCGGCGCAGGATACGCGCGCAGACGGCGTGGAAGGTGCCCATGGTCACGTCCTGGCTGCGGCTCAGGAGCAACCGGTCCAGGCGCTCTCGCATCTCGCGGGCGGCCTTGTTGGTGAAGGTCACGGCGAGGATCTGCCACGGGCGGACGTCGCACTCGCCGACCATGTAGGCGATGCGGTGAGTGATGACCCGGGTCTTGCCGGAGCCGGGACCGGCGATGATCAGCAACGGGCCTTCAGTGGCGAGGACCGCCTGTTGCTGAGGCTCGTTGAGGCCCTGGAGAATGGCGGGCGCGCCGCCGGCCGGCGGCTCAGGGTGGGTCGCCCCGATGTCCAGGTCGGCGAGTTCGGGTGCATCCCAATAGGGAGATGACGCCGGCTCTTCCCAGTAGGGCGACGTCGCCGGCCCATCGTGACGGGCCGGCGCGGTTTCCGAGAAACGGGGCTGGAGTGACATCGGCGATCAGTAGTGGCGCAGTTCGACGACGTTGTCGTCGGGATCATAGATGTAAAGGGAGATGCCGTCGCCGTGGGAGCCCCACCGCTTGCCGGGGCCGGCCTGGATGTCGATACCGGCATCCTCGAAGCGAGTTTTGAGCGCCTCCATGTCGGTTTCATCGATGACCATACAGTAATGGTCCTGGTTGCGGACGTCGTCGCGGCCGCTGGGGATCTCGTCGGAGGCGAAGAAGTCGATGATGGTGTCGGCGTTGATGCGGGCCGACGGGAAGCGCACCTCGCCGGCGCGCCACTGCTCAACCCGCTCGGCCTGGAGCCCCAGGACCTCGGTGTAGAAGCGGAGGGATTCCTCGACGTCCTTGGTTCGCAGGACGATGTGGTCCATTTCGGTGATTTTGACCAGGGGTTGGGTGATCCGTTCGAACCTGGTTGCGGTTGCCATGATGGGCCTCCTGACGGGTTGCGGTGGTTTCACGGTGCGCTTGGGAGCATTATATGGAACGCTCTATCGAAAGTCATCCGACCGCTCCATCCGCTCCATGAGCCGTTGGAGAACGCGAAAGGCAACGCGCGAGCGATGTCTGATACAATAAATGAGCGTCAACCAACGCTGCTTTTTGGCCTCCGCCGGCAAGGTTCCGGCAGACGGCCGCGCGATGCGGAGAGGTGGCCGAGTGGTTGAAGGCGCCGGTCTCGAAAACCGGTATACCCTTCGGGGTATCGCGGGTTCGAATCCCGCCCTCTCCGCCATTAACTACCTTTATTGAGTAGTAAATGCCCGACCATCAGGTTTAGTGATCATAAATCGAACGGGCGATACGGCTCATTTTGCCGTTTCCAAGCGTTTACCGGGTCGGGGTGACGAAGTTTTTGCGCCAAGTGAGTGGCGCGATTTGGCGTAGTGCGAGCCGGCGGAATTGCGTCCTCAGTTGGTTTCACGGCGATCCTGTCCATGCACCGCAAACCCGCCGGGGTTTCCAGGCAGAGGTTAACGCAGCTTTCCCGCAGCTGAGGATGCAGTCCTTCCGGTGGGTGAATCGTCTACGTTTCCGGCGGCGCTGACCTGGGGCTTGCGGTCGCTCAGGTTCCGCTGGTCTCAACTTCTACGTTGGTAGACTGGTGCACCGCGATTGGCTACGATGGTGGCAATTCGATCCAGTCGCTTTGGCTTACCTTGAATTGCGATTTCGAATCGTGCCGACTGAGCGATGACCACCCCCGAACAGAAAGCCCGCGTCCAGATTGACGCCCTGCTTGAGAAGGCAGGTTGGGCCGTGCAGGACGCTGACGCGGTGAACATCGCCGCCGCACGGGGCGTTGCCGTGCGCGAGTTCGGCCTGAAACCCGGCCACGGCGTCGCCGACTACCTGCTGTACGTCGATCAGCACGCGGCCGGCGTCGTCGAGGCCAAGCCGGCCGGCTACACGCTCACCGGCGTCGAGACCCAATCCGGCAAGTACAGCGACGGGCTGCCTGATATTCTGCCCGCCCACCGCAGACCGCTGCCGTTCCTCTACGAAACCACCGGATTGGAGACGCGCTTCACCAACCTGCTGGACCCGGACCCGCGCAGCCGCAACGTTTTCGCTTTCCACACGCCGGACGCTCTTGCCCGTTGGGTGGACTCCGGAGCGACGTCCGGTATGCCCGCCGCCGCCGGAATCGCGGAAGCGGGCAGCGCGTATCTGACCGCCGGGAACCTGCGCCAACGCTTGCAGGCCATGCCTCCGCTGGATGCCGGGCGCCTCTGGCCCGTGCAGGCCCGGGCCATCGGCAACCTGGAGGAATCGCTGGCGCTGGCGAAACCTCGGGCGTTGATCCAGATGGCCACCGGCAGCGGCAAGACCTTCACCGCCTGCAACCTGGCGTACCGCCTCATCAAGCATGCCGGCGCGAAGCGGGTATTGTTCCTGGTGGACCGCAACAACCTGGGCCGGCAAACGCTGCGTGAGTTCCAGGGGTTCACCGCGCCGGACGAACGCCGGAAGTTCACTGAGCTCTACAACGCCCAATTGATGCAGTCAGGCAATATCGACCCAATGAGTCGTGTCTGCATCTCCACCATCCAGCGGATGTACTCCATGCTGCGGGGCGAGGACCTGGACCCCGATCAGGAGGAACGCTCCGACTTCGACCTGGACCAGGGACAAACGGACGCCGCGACGGTGGAGTACAACCCCTCATATCCCATCGACACCTTCGACTTCATCATCACCGACGAGTGCCACCGCTCCATCTACAACCTGTGGCGGCAGGTGCTCGAATACTTCGACGCCTTCCTCATTGGCCTCACCGCGACGCCCTCGTCGCAGACCTTTGGGTTCTTCGACCAGAACCTGGTGATGGAATACCCCCACGCGGACGCGGTGGCCGACGGCGTCAACGTCGATTCGGACATCTACCGCATCCGCACCCAGATCACCGAGGAAGGTTCCACCATCCAGGCGGGGCAATACGTTGACCGCATGGATCGCATGACGCGACTGGTGCGCTGGGAACAACTGGATGAGGACCTGACCTACACCGCCGGCCAGCTGGACCGGGACGTGGTGGCCGAGGACCAGATCCGCACGGTTATCCGCACGTTCCGCGACCGGCTGTTCACCGAGATTTTCCCCGGTCGCAGCGAGGTTCCCAAGACCATCATCTTCGCCAAGGACGACCGCCACGCCGACGACATCGTGAAGGTCGTGCGAGAAGAGTTCGCCAAGGGCAACGACTTCTGCCGGAAGATCACCTACACCGTCAAGGTGCCGCCGCCGGAACAACTGATCCAGGATTTCCGCAACAGCTACCACCCCCGCATCGTGGTGACGGTGGACATGATCGCCACCGGGACCGACATCAAGCCCGTCGAGATCGTGTTCTTCATGCGCAACGTGCAGAACCGCAACTTCTTCGAGCAGATGAAGGGCCGCGGCGTCCGCGTCATCTCCCCCACCGAGTTCAACGCCGTCACGCCCGACGCCACCAATAAGGACCGCTTCGTCATCGTGGACGCCGTGGGCGTAACCGAGTCGGAGATGTCCGACTCTTACTCGCTGGAGCGCGAACCGACGGTATCTTTCAGGGCGACTCCTGGACCTGATCGCCTTCGGCAGCCGGGAACCCGACCATCTCTCCTCCCTGGCCAGCCGGCTGGCGCGGTTGTCCCGCAAGATCTCACCGGCGGAACGGGAGTCCATCGAAACCGCCGCCGGCGGCACGCCGTTGCAAACCCTCATCACCGGCCTGTTGCGGGCCACCGACCCCGACGCGGCCCTGGCAGCCGCCAGGCAAACCACCGGCCTGGACGAACCGTCGCCGGAGGCCATCGCGGAGGCGGAAACACAACTGCGGCATGACGCCGCGGCGCCCTTCGTGTCCAACCCCGAGCTGCGCCAGCGGTTGCAAACCATCCACCAGGCCTATGAGCAGACCATCGATACCGTGAGCAAGGACGTGGTCCTGGAAGCCGGGTTCACCGATGACGCGGCCCGGGACGAGGTGCAGTCCTTCCGGCAGTTCATCGAAGCAAACCGGGACGAGATCACCGCCTTGCAGGTACTCTACGCGCGGCCCTACCGGCAGCGGCTCCGCCTCAACGACATCCGCGCGCTGGCCGACACGATGCAGGCGCCGCCCCGCTCGTGGACCACCGAGCGACTATGGCAGGCGTACCAGCGGCTGGACGAGTCCCGCGTGCGCGGCTCCGGGCAGCGGGCGCTGGCGGACATCGTCGCGCTGGTGCGCTACGCCATCGGCGACGCCGACGACCTGGCCCCCTTCGCCGACCACGTCAACCGCCGGTTCGAGGGGTGGCTGGCCATGCAGGAAACGGCGGGCCGGGCGTTCACCGCCGAGCAGCGACAATGGCTGGAGGCCATCCGCGACCACATCGCGGGCAGCGTCAGCATCGAGCCCGCCGACTTCGAGTACGCGCCCTTCAACCAGCAGGGCGGCCTGATGGGAGCCTACACCGTCTTCGGCGACGATTTGCAGTCAATCATTGACGAGCTGAACCTGGAGTTGGTGCGGTAGGCAACCCCTCACGCGTACCCATTGCGCAAGATCGGTCATTGCGAACGCCCCACGATTGTCGCAAACGCAGCGCGGCAATCCCGTCGCCCCTGGTGTCATCGCGAGCGACCCACCTGTCATTGCGAGCGCAGCGTGGCAATCTCGTCGCCCCCGTTGTCATTGCGAGCGCAGCGTGGCAATCTCGCCGCCCCCGTTGTCATTGCGAGCGCAGCGTGGCAATCTCGTCGCCGGATGATTCGCTCAATTCAACGAGATCGCCACGTCGCTGCGCTCCTCGCGATGACCAAGTGGGTAAGCGTGAGTAGGCGTCCCGCCTTGACCCCCCGCCGGGTCACCCGCAGAATGGCATTACGTTGATTTGGGATAGAGACTGATGGCTGCAACTGCCAAGGAACAATTCACCAGCCGAGCCGCGCCCGAACTGTTGGCGGCGATGCGGGAAATCGCCCGCGAGGAAGGCCGGGACTGCGACGCCGTCCTTGAAGAAGCCATGCGGCTGTACATCGCAAAGTGGCGAGTCAATCGGCCGGGGGTGCGGCCCGAAGTGATGGCACACTATCGGGACAGCCTGGAACGCAACCGGCGACTGATGGAACTGCTGGCGCAGTCCGGAGGCTGAAATTGGGCATCACACACGTCACCGCCATCATCCGCAACCCGGCGCAGCCGGAGCGAACCTGGGAAGGAGAGTTCCTCGTGGACACCGGGGCCATGGATTGTCTCGTGCCTCAGCAGCATCTGGAGGCCATTGGCCTTGCTCCTCGATCGGAGCGGGTGTACAGCCTGGCCGACGGCAGCGAGATTCGGTTGGGAGTCGCGGTGGGCGAGATCGAATTGATGGGGGACATTGCCGGGGTAACTATCGTCTGTGGCCCGCCGGACTCCGAACCGCTCCTGGGGGTAACGGCCCTTGAATCAATAGGAATCGAGGTGGACCCGCGCAACCAGTACCTGCGTAAGCTGCCCATCAACGCGGTTGCGGACGCTGGGCGAAACGGCATACGACCCGCGGCAGTGACCATGACCGGCGTTTATGTGGCGATCATCGTCAACTCCGACAGATTTCACTACATTGATTTGGGAGAGAGTCAAATGGTCACCACCGCCAAGGAACAATTCACCGGCCGAGCCGCGCCCGAACTGTTGGCGGCGATGCGGGAAATCGCCGCTGCGGAAGGACGCGATTTCGAGACCGCCCTGGAAGACGCCATGCGCCTGTATGTCGAATGCAAAACCGGCAATGAGGTACAGCCTGACGCGATCGCCCACTTCCGGTACAGCCTGGAGCGCAACCGCAAGCTGATGGAACTGCTGGCGCAATCGGAGCGAACGAAATGACTAAGGTTGCCGAAATAAAGTTGGCCATCACGCAACTGCCGTATGCCTCCCAGAGTACGTGAAGCAATCCGCATAGTTGAACAGGATGGCTGGTTTCATGTAAGAACGCGGGGCAGCCATCGCCGATACAAACACCCCGAAAAACCGGGGCGAGTGACAATTGCGGGCAACCCCGGCGAAGAACTGGACATCAAAACCTGGTACAGCATCCTTGAACAGGCAGGGCTCGACAGGAGGGACTACCGATGAAATTTGTGGCGCTAATCGCCAAAACGGGCACCGGATATTCGGCGCACTTGCCGGACCTCCCCGGCTGCATCGCCGCCGCCGGCACCTTTGAGGAAACGCGTGAGCTCATTCAGGAAGCTGCTGCCTTCCACCTGGAAGGAATGGTTGAGGATGGCGAGACCATCCCCAAACCGGTGTACACCGCCGTGGATTCGAAGTCCCAATGCCGGGCGTCGTCGAACCGACCGCCGTGGAGATTGGGCGATAATGCGCCGGTGGCCGATCTCCGGTCGTCGGCATGGAGGGAGCAATGACACCCGACGTTGCGGAAATAAAACAGGCCATCCTGGGACTGCCGGAGGCCGATTACGTTGAACTGCGACGATGGTTCAGCGAGTTGGACGAAGACAAATGGGACCGGGAGATTGAATAGGACGCCGCCGCAGGACGGCTGGATTTTCTGCTCGAAGAAGCCATGACCGCCAAAGAGCAGGGCACGCTCCGCCCATTGTGATTCCCGGTTGTGCTTATCTATATGGATATCGAGGCACCAAAACGGCCGTTGCCTCACGGGTGGACATGGGCCAACGTGGGGGACGTTACCGCCCCACGCGGCGTCAAAGGTCAAGCCGGCTGACATGGCCGACGCACCATTCATTGGTTTGGAGCACGTTGAAGCCCACACCATGCGACTGCTCAATATCGGGAAGGCATCTGACGTTCGTAGTTCTGCTTCGTATTTTGCTACC